CTGACAGTAGAGATATACACTAAACAGCTATTGTAATTGTTTTCCATACACTCAAAAATCTAGAGGAAAGTCTGAATGTAGTACAGAGGAAAGATATAAAAGTGACACAAATTGAACTTCCAGAGGTGAAAACTTCAGTGCCTCCTTTGAAAAAGGCACTGGATGGGATTAATGGTAGATACAAGGTTACAAAATCAAAAGCAAGGCACCATCTCACCTGTTCCTTACAAAGGTTACTATTAAAATGACAAAGGTTGTAACAAGTTGTGAGGATTTAAGGGGGAAAGGGAGCATTTGTACACTGTTGGTGGGAATGTAAATTCGAGACACTACTCGAAATAGAAATGGAGATCCTCCCCCCCACAAAAAAATAAAACTACCAAGTAATCCAGCAATCTCAACACTCGGTATATATCTAAAGAAGAGACTTCTGTGTTCCGAAGTTTTCAACAGCATTCTTCCCAACAGCCACGGGATGAAATCAGTCTGATGACTGCTCAAAGAGAACATGGTGTACACACACACACACACACACACACACACACACACACACGAATACTTTTTAGTCACAGGAGGGGTGAAATCTTGTCATTTACAGCAATAAGCATAGAATCCATTTTTAGGTAAGCCAGGCACATAAAGACAAATCTCACCCATAATCTCACCCAGATGTGGGATGTGAAAAGGTTAATCAAAGTGTAGAGATGGCTGGAAGCTATGCGGAGAACGAGGGGAAGGGGAGTCAGCCAATGGTACTAAGCTATCGTAAAGTAGGACAAACATGGACTCTCCTCACAGTGTCAGTTCAGAAAGACAAAACATGGGCTGGTGAGATGGCTCAGCAGGCAAAGGTGCTTGCCACCAAGCCTGATGTGGCCTGAGTTCAACGCCCAGAATCCACATGATCGAAGGTGAGGACTCCCACAAGTTGTGCTCTGACCTCCACAAACAGACCACGGCATGCGTGCCTGCACAAACACACACACACACACACACACACACACACACACACACACACACACACCTCAAATAAATAAAATAATAATCTAACAGAAATGCTACAGGAGAAAAATAGAGAAATTAAAATAGCCATAGAACCATGAAAAATAAAACAGGGAAAGTACTAAAAAAATTTTGAAGAGTGAGTTTGGGGAAAACATCAGACAACTGGACAACTAACTGTAGTCACCAAAGGAGGACAGAGGGAACAAGGGACAAACACAAGTTAAAGAAATAATGGTCAAGGGAAAGGCTGATGATACTTGAGCATGGCAAAACACAGCTGTAATCCCAGCATGCAAGAGGAATTTGAGTTCAAAGTCAGTCCTGGGCTACAGGAGGGAGAAGAGGGGGAGGAAAAATGGGGGTGTGTGATGAGATCGTGAGTTAATATATATAGAGAGAGAATATATATATATATATATGTATGTCAGAACTCATCAAGTTCTACATTTTAAATATGTTCAGTGTGCTGTGTGCTAATTACAGCACAATACAGCTGTTCAAAAATAGGAAACTTGAAATTAGCTCCATCTTACAAGGAAGTTTGCCAATAGCACATTTTGCTATCTTACAGTGCTGGAAGTCAGACTAAAGGCTCTACCACTGAGCTGCACCCCAGCACTACTGGGAGACTATTTTAATATTATTTATAAAAAATCAACTCAGAAACAAGAAGACATTTGTAATGCATTGTGGAAAAGGGCATTTTAGTAAATATTCCAGAATGTGTCCACCTACCCAAAATGCTGTTTTCTTAAAACACAGGCTGAGAGAATAAATACGTGGTCACCGTTCAGCACAGTTTTTGGACTATCTCCCAGATCTGAAATGATCTTCAGTCTCAGTTTATGAACAGCATAAGAAAAGTACTTTTATTGTTTTATGATCACACCTGGTAAATGAAATCCTTATTACATTTCCTACTTGAAAGCTAGGACTTCTAAAACGTATTTGAAAGCAGCCCAATGTTGACAGTGTCTGTTGCACACTGCCTATGTACAATTTCCTTAGTGACCACTTTTTCAAGAACATTATGTTGAGGCAAAATTGGCTTCGTTTCCTCCTGGAGAATATACACACACTGACTGGGAATCAGATGTTTTCGAATAATGGAACTACCTGTTCATAAACGAAAGAAAAAATTGGTAACTGAAGTGAATAAAATATGGCCAGACAAATTTGAAACTGAAGCTTTCAAAAAATAACAATAGAAATTTGTACATTTTGTCAGCCTCTACCTGTCTTTGGAATAGTATACACTTCCTTTTTACAATTTTAAAATTATTCTTAATATTGTGACACCCTAAAGGAATGTTGTATTTGTTACAAAGTATGCAAATTGAAACATCAAGACTGTGCGTCTACCATCCAAATTAAGGATGGGAACCAGCAAGAAGGCTGAGCAGGTAAAGGGACTTACTGTGTGAGCCGGTTGACCCGAGTTCAATCCCTGGAACCCTTGTAAAGGTGGAGAGAACAAAACTGTTCCCATGGTGCTGTCCTCTGACCGTATGCACACACACACACACCTTTTTAAATCCATCACTAAACAAATTAAAGATGGAACTTTCCAATTGTGAGGTTTCCCTATTCCATCCTCTGCCTCCCTACGCCATCCTCTACCCCTGGCCCCGGAAATACTAAATTTTGCATTTGTGTTCCTATGTAATGACAGATATGATTAGTAGACGATAGAGCTGATGATGGATGGATGATAGCACTTGGCTTTGTGCATTACAAAAATGGCTTAATATTACACGTAGTCTTCAATGGGTTTAGAACAGCAATGTAGCTGTCTGTGGTTCCTTGGCTTTTAACTGCTACATATTATTTCACTGTGTAGACATACCACAGCTTATATAGCTGTGCCCTGTCGGTGTTCTCACCTTTAAGTGCTGGAGCACGAGGACAAGCATTGTAAGATACAATCTGTTGTCCAAAGTCATTGTGTTGGCTTGCACCCCAACAACATCGAAGCTTGCGGAGTCCATCTACCTCAAAGACCCCGGCCTCCATCCAAGGCTTATGAACGTGTCACTTCTGTAGCACTCGCGCTCGCGTTTCCTATTTCCTCTTGCGTTCCCATTCTTTTTTTCTTTTATGTGTTTGTGTATTGCCTGCATGTTTGTGAGTGTACCCATGTTGTGCAATGCCCGTGGAGGTCAGAAGAGGGCGTCAGATCCCCTGGAACTGGAGTTATAGACAGTTGTTAGCTGCCATGTGGGTGCTGGGATTCCAACCCAGGTCCTCTTTAAGAGCAGCCAGTGCTCTTAACTGCTGAGCAATCTCTCCAGCCCCCTTACTTTCCCATTCTTATCTGCTGCCCAGTTTCCAATTCTGCTAAGAAGCAGAGTTTTGTTTCTTTTGCTGTACCACATAATAGTCCTCTGTGAATTATGACTACAATGTGTGGTTTTTACCTCACTGTTTCTAAGGTGTCTTATAATGAACAAAACCTGGGTTGGAGAGATGGTTCAGTGGTTAAAAGCACTGGCTGCTCTTGCAGAGGACCTGGGTTCGATTCCCAGCACCCACATGGCGGCTAACAACCATCCGTAACTCCAGTTCCAGGGGAATTCAATGCCCTTTTCTGATCTCTGAGGGCACTGTGCAACACAGGGACACTCACATACATGCAGGCAATACATTCATATACATAAAAGAATAAAATATTTTTTAAATGAACAAAGCCCATAATGAAATCCATCATTTTGTCTAACATATGCATATTGAAAATAAACCTTTTATTAAAAATAAAACCTTTTTATTTTTATTTATTATTTTTATGTGTATGTGCGTATTGCCTACATGTAGGCAGTAAGTGCACCCATGTCTTGCAATGCCCACAGAGGTCAGAAGAGGCTGTCGGATCCCTTGGGACTGGAGTTATGGGCAGTTGTTAGCTGCCATGTGGATGCTGGGATTTGAACCCAGGTCTCCTGCAAGAAAAACCAGTGTTCTTAACCACTGAGCCATCTCTCCAGCCCCAAAACCTTTTATTTTTAATGTGAACATAATAATCTTTTTTACCATGCTTAATTCATGGTTTTTGGATGGATCTTAAATCCAAAGTCATATAAGTGTATATATTTATTTGCATATTTGATTTTAGTGTCCTTAACACTTCAAAAGCTACTGCTGGAATTTCTTAGATGTGAGGAAGGGATCCACCATTACACGCATTTCCACCCCCCTGGAAATGTTCCTGCATTTCCTATATACTGACCTGTAACCTTCCAGTATTGGCCAAACATCACCTTAGAGAAGCCTCCTTGGTCAAATTACCTAACTCCCTCATATCTAGGCCATAAATCATATGTGCCCCCCCTCCCACAAACCACATCATTGCTTAAAACTCTGAAGATCCATTTCATCTACTTTCATTTTAACCAAAGCTGCTCAGCAAAAGCTAAAATCAAATTTAAAGTATGTAACTTTCAGGGCTTCATTTTCAGTCTCTCCCACCATAACATGGCCTATGTTCTTTGTGCACAACTGAAATGTTCCCAGTCTTTGAAATAATTTTTAAAATCCTAAATTGTTAGGGGAAAACACAATCTATATGGATCATAAGGGAGATGTTTAGCAATATTTTGATGAAGTCATACCAGTGCCAGTCTTTTCTGCCTAAGAAACAGAGAATGTAATTGTGGAGTTTTCAGTCTAAAACTAACAGTTTTCAAATGGACATTATAAATGATTTTCTCAATTTCTAGACAACTGTGATATTCACATTACTGTTAACAGTATTTCACAAAAGCCGGGTGTGGTGGCGCATGCCCTTAATCCTAGCACTCCCCACACAGAGGCAGGTGGATTTCTGTGAGTTCAAGGCCAGCCTGCTGGTCTACCTAGGGAGTTCCAGGCAGGCCGGGGTTACAGAGAGACCCTGTCTCAAAAAGACCAAAAGAAAAAGAAAAAAAAAATTCACAAAGCAAAACATGGGGGAAAGTAAAAAATAATACAAGACTCCCAGTAACATAGAACTTTTCTAATAGTAAGAATGGAACATGGATGTTTTAATGACTTTCATATTGAATGAAGACATTGAACACTTAAAAACAATTACATCAATACACTAAAAATAACTGATTCCACATAACACTTATAAATGCATACTTTTCCCAAAGAAACTCATTTTCACAGATTTAAGAAACAATGATTTACACAGTCTTCAGATTCCAAAATATGTACAGAACTTTTGACTCTACATAAATGGTGTGCAGCGATTACAGGGGGAAAGGGTTGTTCTGTCCAATAACAAATCTCTTAAGTTTTCTAACAATGCACATTTTAGTGACCACACATTTTCCTTCCATTATTAAATGAAATTCTGGACACTTCAGCACATAGTAGTGTTCCTACCTCAGAACACTATTTCTAATAAGATCACCCGTGGCTGATGGCATGACTTTCCTTAGCCACATGCATACAAGCTTGCACACACCCATGAGCATGCATGTCCTATCCCCAGTAAGAAACTCCTGCAGATAACAACACTGTGGCCCCAGCAGTGGGATGAGACCACGTCAAATGACACAGTAGTTAACAGTAAGTCACATCCTGCTCCTGAGAACTCTGCGTGAGCACCTTAGGGTCTTCTGCCCTCATGGAAATGAGTGCAGAGTCTCATTCCAGCTGTCAGAGGCTAATCTCTCCAGGCAGCGAGAAGTGAGGCTGCTGGCAGTGAGGATCACTAGTCTGCATACAGATTTTTTTTAAAGCTCCAAACTTTTGTCTGGCAGAGATCTGTTTCTCAAGTTTGATTTAGCATTTGCATTTGTATACATTTTTCAATGTGCCTATCACTCTACGGTATCTTGACTATCAGATTAAAATGCAAGTGCTCTAAGAACATGGTTTTACATACCCAGAGAGAGTGACGTTGCAATCATCTCTCAGTAAGGTCAAGTAGGCCACAGGGAACATCTTGATACAGAACTCCCTCATCAAGCAAAAGATACTCAGGACAGGGGAGCTGGACCTTGAAATTCTAATCAACCACAGTGACCAGCCTGACTCAGCTCTCAAAGATAGCTCAAAGTCTGGGCAGACTTGTAATCAACAAAGGCCAGACTTTAAAAATACAACATATTTTTTAGTTTAAAAAAACAGAATTACTTAAAGAACTCATTCTGAATGAGTAGGTGTGAAACGCCTAAGATCAGCTCCTTAGGGCCCAAATCAAAGGTGCCAAGAACAAGGTGCTGCTCATCCGTGGTGTGTGCCACCGAAGGACACTCAAGACAGCCTATGCATTACGGCATCCATCCTACCAAGCTTCCTACCACTACCAGCTCAGACGCCTTCCTGCACCACCCGAAACTGACAATGGTGTGTATTACCTCCCTGTGTCTCTCCAAGTGGTCAGCCTGCAAAGAGCCTCATGTAAAGGATTAAAATAGGAGGGGCAGTAACTGAGATGTCTATCAAAACTGTAACTCAGTAAGAAACATGAAGTTACAAGTATCAGATGAACAGTGATCTCTAAGAAGGCAAGAATCTCTAAGAAGGTCACTCATGCAGCAGTAGGTTTGGCACTGAGAGGCAGCCCCGTGCTCAACACAGAGGCTTCGTGCTCCCTGTGAGCTGAATGCCCTGCTGCCACCGCACTGGCCCAACTGTAAAACTTTTCACCTTCAGGATACGTCTAGTATGACTGTCTTTCTTGCCTTCTACATTGAATTCAGTTTCCAGCTATAAATCCAAAGTGCTTTCAATAGCCAACAGTGAGGCTCCAAAGTTTCCCAGATGTTTATTTTTGAGGTAGTACTCATTTATCTGCATTCTTGGCTCTCAAATCCATTTAGAAATATGCAAACCAAAGATGTAGAAAATAAATAGGGTTTTGTTTCCAGGTAGCAAGGCCTTCTTAGACAGGTCAAGTCACAGTCCATGGAGAATCATTTGAAACTTCTAAAACTGTTATAATCACAGCTATAAACTAAAGTGCTTTGAATTGTATAATATCTAAAATCAGTAATTAGAATCATCATATTTTAGAATTTGCTAGTATGAGACCTCAGAAGATTGAAATGGTTTTCTATAAAAAGAGCAGAAATGTTTTCCTCTCAAAAGAAACTCTTTGCACAACTGCTGCAAATGAGAACACAAATTAGAGTTGAAATGGAATTACACAATAGCACATGCTAAAGCTTCATACAAAAGCAAATAGGAAATCTTTGATCATTCCTGACACTCGCTAGCCATCACCAATGAGCTCTGCAGTCTCCCCAGTACAAGGTAGATATGGATAGTTACTTCAGAAAATGTAACAGACCATTTATGCCTCACAAGTACACAGGTTCACATATAGCTCACACAAATGTAATGCCCTACTGTTCTGTCTGTCAAACATCAACAACTCACAAGCACTTTATGTGCTACATGGAAGGTGAGCTTCACATCTAACTGACCAGAGGATGCCAATATATATACACTCGAGACAAAAATAAGAGATAGGATCATACATCTGTCTGTACATTTCATGCAAGCTGGGCACAATGTGAAAGAACATATACAAGGCACCCTTCCCAGGGTCAAATGCTCACTAAGATGGCTGATTAATATGCAGAAGAACCTGCATCAAGAGTCCATGGCAAACCGTGAAACTAAGGAACGCTGGTGACCTTATTTTTCTTGCAACAATGCGGGAATGTTGATGTTCCAACCAATAGCTTGCCTATCAAACCCGCAAGTGAATAGATTGCATATGGGGTGGTCTTCACTCCACGCCGAGCAGCACACCATCCGTCTATGGCCCTAATAAGAAGCACACACACAAAACAAAATTAGTGCATTATTCCTGAAACAAAATTGTAACACTTCCACCACATTAACAATTACACTACTCAAATGACCGATATAAACAGGGGGAATGAGCCCAGATCAGTTCAAGTGAACAAAAAGTACTGTGCATGGCAAGAGGCTTTCAGAGATGTGCTGGCCGCGCCAGGATGAAATGAGTGCTACAGGAGAGCAGGAGAGTGAGTGAGGGCTCCCACCAAAAGCCCTTGTACAAAAAGAAGGTGGTTGGAGAGATGGCTCAGCAGTTAAGAACACTGGCTGCTCTTGCAGAAGGCCCGGGTTCAAATCTCAGCACCCACATGGTAGCTAACAATTGTCCATAACTCCAGTTCCAGGGGACCGACACCCCTTCTAACCTCTGTGGGCACTGCACAACACGGGTACACTTGCATACATATAGGAAATACACTCATACACATAAAATAAATATAAAAAAGAAAATAAGTAAGAGCCAGGCATGGGGGTGCATGCCTTTAATCCCAGCACTCTGCAGGCAGAGGCAGATGAATCTCTCTGAGAGCAAGGCCAGTCTGGTCTACATAGTAAGTTCCAGACCATCTGGGGCTAGAGAGACCCTGTCTCAAAAGACAAAAAAAGAAAAAAGAAAAAGAAAAGAAGTAAGGAGATGGGAGATGGCCTGGTGGTGCACACCTTTAATTCTGGCACTTGGGATGCAGAGGCAAGCAGATCTCTATAAATTCGAAGCTAGCCTGGTCTACAAAGAGTTTTAGGCCAGCTAGGGCTGCATAGTAAGAACTTTCTCAAAAAAAAAAAAAAGTAAGACTGCAGTCACGTGTAAAAAATAAACGATCACTTTCAAATATATAAATGAAAAATGGGGCTAGAAGACATTTGTGAACAAACTAAACCAAATTCACTGAAAGACCTCAAGCATCATTTTAACAAGTAAATGGTTCATATATTAAAGGAACTAGAAAAATATATGTGGTGTCAAATGAAATAAAAGTAAGAAATGGCCTTTCGGGTAGATTTCTGCAATCCTCAAGAATTCAAGTTAAGTATCAAAATGTTGGGGAAATCACTGTAAAATATTTGATAAAACTTACAGTCTGATTTTTAGTGTGTATGTGCACAGACTTAAGCACTTAAGATAATGCCCAACACTTAGAAGGTCTGCATTCTGCACCCTAAAACTACCATAAATTAATATAAGAGCTTGAATATGCTGCTACTATCACATAATAAAGCACAAGAATTAAATAAAACTGGCAGGTATTTACCATGTAAAGAAATGTTTGAAGAATAGTATAAGATTTCTTCTGTGAAACATTTGCTATAAATAATGTTTACATATATATGGGAAACTTGAATAGGCTGCAAAACTAATTCTCAAAATGAAGACTGTATGGCAGAAGTTACCAAAGGATCATTCACTACTTATTATTAATAAAGTAAAAAGGTAAAGGAAGAAAACACATCCACATCCACTAGTTGGCAGTAAAAGCATGTCATCAAACAGGAATCACTTAAGGATAAATGCATGGACTTGACTGTGGACTCTGAAACTGGGCACCTGACAACTGAGTAGGAGACAGTGACCACACGGCCACAAGCTGCTCAAGGAGAGAGCTGAAAGCCACATCTGGTTGAGAAGTGAACACTTTCACCACAGGTAGAGATAGAGATTTCTGAAATGTTCTGTGTTATCGTTATCGTCGTCGTCGTCATCATCATCATCATCATCATCATCATCCACCTGGAAAAAGAGGATGACCCCCAGACACACACTATGGAGCTACTCGGCACTACCCAAGAACCATCATGATGAGCATTAAAAGCCCTGGGCCCTAGCAGTACAGGGTCCCATTCACTATCCTGCAGACCTCTGTTTCACAAATGACTCAACTTGACCTGTTCAACTCTGCAGTTCTTCCTACCAGTCCCTGCGGCATGCCTTGCTGAAGCACACCTGGGAAATGCTGCTCACACTGTCCCCAAACTAAAACAATTTAAAATCACTATTCCTTTTCACTCTAAAATTCAAATCCCTGAAGGTAAATAGATAAAGAGCCACTGATAAGCAACCAAGATGGCAAACTTCCAGCTGCTTCTCTGACTGAGACAAAGGCCTGAGGGGTCCTTCTCCACAGAAGAGTCCCTCCTCCAGCTGACTGCCCAGATCAGTTTAGGTGAGCCCAAGGCCCAACCTGGATATATCTTCACATGGAGCTGTGAATCCATTAGTCCTCCCTTCTTGGTTTAAGTTGACCATTCCAAAATCAGGGATGAGTCCTGCCCTATACCACTAAGAACTAAAAGACCTAGGCCTTCCTACGGGCTTGGATTTTGGTTTCAAAATCCCTTTTCCACTTGCAAAGAGTTTTTCTCTGTGTGAGTATGTGAATGTGTTTCTTTACTTCTAATAAAGTATTGCCTACTATGTCTAGAGATTCTTCCTGCCTTTTAATTCTTTAATTGGCAGAGAAAATCAACCTGCTGGAGACCCCTAGATGGTAACAGCAGCACACACACCACCAGCTACTTGGGAGGCTCAGACAGGAGGATCCAAGTTGGAGGGCAGCCCAGGCAGCTTAGTAAGACACAACCTGAGAATAAAATCAAAAGGACTGGGGACGCAGCTCAGTTTTAGAGCATTTGCCTATCATGAGAGAGGGCTCTGGGTTCAAAAACCAATAATGAAGGAGAAAAGATTCCCCATAAGTATTCTGTTTGCTTTTCTCTTTTTAAAACTAGTCAGCTGAGCTGGGCATGGTGGCACACATCTTTGATCTCAGCACCTACAAAGCAGGGGCAGAAGGATCTCTGTGAGTTAGAAGCCAGCCTGGTCCACAAGAACTCTACAATTCTCTAAAAAATGAATGTTTACAGATACTTCTACACATGGATTTTTCTACATGGAATCAGGATAGCAAAGTACTGCTTAGAACTCCTCACTTTCTTAAGGGACAGTATCCTCAAAGTTATAACATATGCTGTCATCAATCTGAATAAATGTAAATTTAACACATTAGATGGCAATTTTAGAACATACAAAAGCACATATAAGACAGTCAACTGTGTAAAACTTCCCTGAGCAGGCAACTCATGGCCTTGCTAAGGGCTGTGAAGTTTTTTTGTTTGTTTGTTTGTTTTTTAACTCTAATTTCATGAGAATTTTCCTATGATGTACACTTAAAAAACAAAAAGGTAGTAACTGGTGGACGTGGTGGTACACACCTCTAACAGCACTCAGGAGGCAAAGGCAGGTGAAACTCTGTGATTGAGGTCAGTTTGGTTTTACATAGCCAGTTCCAAGCCAGTGGGGGCTTCAGGGAGACTGTTTCAAAAGCAAAATAAAACAAAAAGAAAAAACTGATTTGGGCAGTACACTCTTGTGAGTGGTCAAAAGAAACATGGCTAAGATTATTGCAGAGCTACACCATTGGTCACACAGAGATTCTCTGTCAACTGCCCAAGTCTAAGTGGCACATCTTGGATGCAACCTCTATACTTAAGACTCACAGAACATAGAACAAGGGATGAAGAGAACAGTAATACATCTTTCAATTCTCATCGATGAAGCTCCCTCATGCAACAGAGGGCCAGGAACACAAAAGGCCACAAATGGCCAAACACAGAGAATAAGAGTTGCCAGAGTGTAGATTCTTAGACAGGTCTCCTATGCTGAGGTCCACCCACTCAGGGCTCAGGAACCATTGTGGAAGAGGGGATGGAAAGAATGTAAGAGCCATGGAGGAGGTGCATGACCATACAGAAATAGTCCTACAGGCAAAAGGGACCCTTCTCATATGAACCTACAGCAATGGTGTCAGCATGCACAAGACCCATGCAAACTCAAGCAGACAAAAACCCAGCACAGAACTGTGGAAATGAACAGCAGGCCCCAATCTTAGTCAAAGAATCATTGGCAGCTGAATACTGCTGGGTAAGGAAGAGCTGATATTCTTGAAGGGAGAGACTCTAGATAGGCTGACTAGACCCTGGTGGATAAACTTGCACTGAGGGACATCACGCGACATTAACTTTACATAATGGGCCTTATGCAAATGACAGAAGGTATGACCTTCAGTGTGGGGGGGGGCGGGTATGGGAGGTGCCAAAGGGGGAAGGGGTATAAAGATGACTTTATGTATCAAATACATAAAAATTCAATAAAAAAGAAGAAAAATGGCTGAAACACCCTTGTAGAACAGCCAGCTCTGAGATACACGTGCCACTCAAGAAAGAAGGGATGCTGCATTGGTAGCAAACTTCCACTTCACACTTGATCTCCAAAGCCACCTTAGTCTTCAGTGTTCGGAGTACACACCTACCACAGAGCATGAAGTGTACTAAGGCCTTCCACTGTGAAATGAGACAGGTAGCATCAGGGAGGAACAACAGAGCAGTATCCAGAAGGCAGCACAGGGGGATGCTGTGCAGGGGAAGTGTGTGTGTGCAGACAGGCAGAGACCAGGGAACAGAGTCATTAACAGAATGAACTGGCTTATTCCTCACAGACATGACAATGCCATTCAGAGAAGACCAAAAGAAAACGAAAAGCAGAGTGATCGTGCTCAGGAGCTCCATTAAACACAAAAGCCTGAATGAAAGTTTCCACTTGTGACTCGACTGCCAATCAAGGGAGTCAGCCACTAATACATCAGCCAGACTCTGCTCCAGCCCCAACTTCACCTTCACAGAACATCAGTCAGTTATCCAAGGGCCTGCCTAAGGGCAGGGTGCTGGGCTCCCCTGCACACATTCTGCTTCTGCTAGGCTGCGCTGGAGCCATGATCTCTCCAATCTTTACACATATTGCATCCACTATGGTGGGGTGACCTGAAAACCACCCACAGAAACACCCGCCTAACTCCACATTAGCAAGGAATAATTCCTTACTTTATAAGAAAAACAGAATTCCTTTTTCCTGTGGCATCCTACACAGAAAGATGTTTTTCTGCTTGGAGGTGGAGGCTGGGAATCCCATCTCCAAAACCTCCACCAATCTATGACTAGCAAGGCTCCTAATTACATAGTTATCTCATAAAATATGCTAAAATCAAGTCCTCTCCTCCTTTTAAAATGTGATTACAAAGTTACATTTCTACTTTTAATGTGGCTTGCATTATTTTTCCCACATAGCATTTACTTAAAGATGGAATGCCAAGGTTTCCTCTGCTGTGCAGGCTGAACCATTACCTGCCGACTGCTCCGGGGAAGCCGCGCTAGTCGTACTCCTGACATATCAAACAATCGCACTTGCCGGTTGTCGTGGGGGAGGGCTATGATTTTTTGGCCAACACATACATTGATCCTGCAAAGAAGATATAAAAACAGGTTATGCGTAAAATAGTGACAGTGTCATATTTTGACAGTAGGACATAATGACACAGCTGCACTGTTCCCAAGTCAGCAAACCACAGGTAGTCTGCCTATGACACTGGACTAAAGACAGATACACAGAACTGCCAGATCACACATGGACTCCACATACACACACAACACAGACAACCATTACCCAACAGCAGAGAGACCCACCGAAATGTACCATCAGTCCCTCATTAAGTAAGCAAAGCCCTACAACATATGGCCACAAAAGGCTCACTCTTACTCCACCAACCTGACTTTGTGCTTTAAGTACCCAAATTCACACTGTCCCAGGAGACGGAACCCCCTTCTCCAAAGGCTCTATCAATTAAACAAGTCGTTGAACTGTAATCAATCCTTACCTATTAATGGCAGAGTCTGTGCGAATTGTCGCAATTGGAGATCTCATATTCTTTAAATCCCAGACTTTCACTGTGCGGTCATCACTGCCTGAAACCACATTGTCTCCCACGGTGAACACAGCAGAGGTCACAGTGCTACAGGTAGAGAGCATAGGATCAGACAACTCAGCAGTAAGAGTTCAGGATGACCAACCATAGCCCCACACCGCATGCTACACACAGCTCTGCTTCCAGAGGTGGCAGAAGGTGGAAAGGAGGCCACTGAGGGGCCTTCGACTCTGCAACCTGCTCCTGCTTCCCAAACACCCCCATAACTGTGTAAAATAAGGACCTGGGTTTATTTCTCAATAGAGCAGAAAATACAGTCTACCTCAGCCCTGTCCCACCACCTTCAGACAATGCAGAAAGAAGATACCAGGCAAAAAGAAAAAGGATTAAGCTGCCAAACTTCCATTAGGCTGATGGAATGAATTAAAAGAAAAACCCACTCCAAATGCAACTCTCAATTTAATAAAACCATAGGAGTTAGAGGAAAAACATTGCAATAACTGGACAACTCAAAAATGAAGTTCAACAGACATTTTTTCCAAAGAAAACATACACGTGGGGTGGGGATGTAGCTCAGTCAGCAAAGTGCTCGTCACACAAACATGAGGACCTGAGTTCAATCCCCTAGTACCCTCTAGTAAGCCTGAAATGGCAGCACACATCTGTAAGTCCATCCCTGAGGAGTTGGTGACAGGAAGACCCTTGGGGCTTGCTGACCAGTCATTCTAGTGAAATTTGCGAACTCCAAGTTCAGTGAGAGATTTGGTCTCAAAAAATCGAAAGGCAAATGATGAAGGACGAAGGCATTCAACAGCAGCCCCTGTGTAGACTGACTGACCACGTACCCACGCACCCACACCCGCCCCCCCCCACACACATGCACACAGTATCCAAGAAGCACATGAAAAAAATGATAAACACCAATAGCCATGGTGGTGTTCCAGTTAGTTGTAGCTATGGCTGTTAGGTTAGCTTGTGATGGATGACCCTTCAAACAATGGTTGCCAATCACATGTTGAACGGCAGGACTAAAATAATAAAATGGCACTTGAAAAAGAAAAGCCTAAATTCAATCTCTCTGTTCACTAAGTTTGATAAGAAATGTGACAAAAACCACCTTCCCATGAACTAAAGGACTGGGATCCTCCTCGTGATACCATGTCATATAAGAATACATACAGTAGATGTCGTTGTTTTTATTATATGCAGCTGAGTTTCCACTTTTACCATTCATCTCTTTAACAGTCCTTTACAGGATGTGCTTCCTGTCTTGCACACTGTTGGGTATGAATTTTACTTAACGTGTTAGTAACCAATATCCCCAAGACTGGTCCATCAAGCAAGAGCTTTTCAAAGAGATGCAGAATCACCTCTATAGTTGTCTCCCACCACCACAAAACCTGGCTGAGGCATTCACTCCACGAAAAGGCTTAAAACACATCTCACCACTCATGAAACTGCTGAAGCTGCCCTGCAAGATGACAAGCATGCACACTTGGTAAAGCATCTTCTTACCTCACAGATCATTAAATGGCGTGGACAAACGCTTGGTACTTGGCAACTCCTATTTGTCAGCTGTTCCTGCTACTGGAGCTGTGCTGAGCTGTGAGCGCCTACACTGTTCAGATTCCCCATGTGATGAGCCCTATTCAGTCAGTAGGGCCCACTTAGGAAAGCCTTTTAATATTTAAATAGACATAGTGAAGTTCTAACTAAATCTTAAGTTCCACTGCATTAATGCAAGGTTTGTTTAAACTACAACAACAGTATCGACTAAGAACCAGAGTTTTCAGCACGACCTGAAAATAAACTCTACCACTGGGGCCCCAGGATACTCTCTGCACACAGTACATCTGCCTTCTGAAAGACAGGCCACCCCAGCACTTCCATCTGCAACACCAATTTGCTCATTCCAATTCTTCAGTTTGAACTTCACTGTGTGGAATCATTAGCTGAGTGGAGCATGGCAGCCTCCCTCTGCTCATCAGATACCAGTCAGTGCCCCAACCACATGTGACGATCCAATGGAGACGTTTCTCCAGGAAGGCAAGGCCACCTGGGTTGGAAACCACTTCACTACATCTAGATGGGACACAGAAGACAACACAGCACAAAGCAACAAGGACCCATCGGTATTGCTTATCTAAATAAATAACAACATAGGACCTGGTAATAAACAAGGTGCTGCAAAGGTTACACAACAGTTTATGAAGCTTCTCCTGGCAGATACTTGAAAAGCGCAGGGTAAGGATGTCCACTGACTTCTGTTCAGAGCGTATTCTACAAAAGATTTTGTCCAAGTTAAATTTCACCTAACACTCTGCTCAATTAATAGAGAGGGGAAAAATCCACAACAAGAGTTCATCTGACCCTATGCTAATGAAATGCTAAAAGACATTAGGTTTTTAATAAATCACAACCTTGGCAGGTATTGTAGGACATCAAAAGGAAAGACTGACAAAGAGGCAGTAGTTTGAAAGGCACCCTTGGACCATGGGTCCCACCAGGAGGCTGGTGAGCTACAACCACTCACTGGAAAAGCTTCAGACTCTGCCAAACACCAGCAAAACTCATTTATCTTGTCGGGGAAAGCAGCCGAGCATGTACTTCCAGCTGACAGTATGGTACCTTCTCACCACACACCACTGCCTGATCTGGAACATTCTGCTCCCTCCGTGGGTCTCAATCAATGGAAATACTGTACTGCCAGCACTCCTCATTAGAACTAACAGCTGTCTTCCCAGTCACACAGAGACACAAAACTGTTTTGCATAACAATCTGCTGAAATTTCAGGCTAAGAAAAAAAATATATGATGTGGGAAATACTGGGTCATGAAATGCTAATGCAGTGTGCTGTTCTGGCCACGCCAAAGAATGATATAAGGTTCCTATTTCTTATTTTTAAAATGTAAATTCCTACAAAATAATGTTTCAGATCTAAAAAGCAAAGCAATGTGCTCACAGAGAGTAAGCACTCCCTAAGGAGAAACACAAGTGTGCAGGCATCCTTCTCCTTAGAACACAGGCTGTGTGTTCCAGGACACAGAATCCATCTTTTAAAAAGAATGTATGTGAAGGTATCACTAGGACTTTATTACTTGGGCCAGTCAACTGTTCAACTGTATTCCAGCACTCATATAAAACTGCATCACCAAGATCATATAATAGATCCAACTTTCAAACACAGCTCTGTCTGGAACTGGTAATCAAAGTACATTCCAACTTGAGCCAAGCCAGAACCCAGGGTCAGGGTGCGCCTGCCCAGAACACCACACAATGCAAAAGATGGTGGGGCAACTGCATTATGTGCATCCAAAGTCTGGACCAGCAGCTTCCTTCCTGATCACTGCTATCCAAACTGTTTTTTCCATCTACAAAATATTTACTAAGCACCTACTGTGTGCCAGATCCCACTCTGTGTAAGGTAACATGCAAAAAAGAAGAGGGGGAAATAAACAGTCCTGTAGGTCTCCATTTTAGTGAAGATGCCAATGTTCACGCTGTTTTTAATGAATACGCTCCAGTGTAGGGTACACAGTACTGTTCAAAGGGCTAAAACCACAGGCCAGCAGTCATCACACTGCCACTACAGTCACATTTCTGAGGTAATCCTAGTGATGACTGTCCACCAGCTGCGTAATTTCACAGCACATCAAAGCAGTGCAATTATGGATGGAGCTGAATTCTTACTATGTAGCTCTGGTTGGCCTCAAATTCAGGAGATGCCCCTACTCTGCCTCCTGAGTGCAGTGCTAGTAAGAACCCTTTTCATACTCAAATATGACAGTTGATTCATTACTTTATTCAAAATTATTACAAAAAGTTAATAAGATTCATACTGTAAACGCCATCCTTGCCCTACTAGTAATCAAGATTCATGTGCTTTATTGAAAACTGGTCATTCTCTTTCTGATTAAAAAAAAAATCAAATTTAGAATATCTGTAATCATATCAGTAATTTTCGAGAAATCTGAGGCAAATGTATTATTTAAATTTGCTGAGGCGTGACCTCCCTCAGGTTTAGTAATCTAAGTAAGTATCCATTTCTTTCTGAATCCAACTCTATCAATTAACTGGCCAGTGTCTCACAATAGCACTCATTATGTATTAATTTTGTATGTAATAAGAATTTTAAGGTTTTGAGCCAGGCATGGTGGCGCATGCCCTGCAGTCCCAGCACTTGGGAGGCAGAGGCAGGTGGATCTCTGTGAGTTTGGGCCTCTTAGCAACATACTGTGTTCCAAAGGCCAAAAATGACAGAAGTATTTGGGAGCTCTTATGTAATCCCTGAAAGATTTTAGGGTTACCTCTTCAGGGGGTAATGTTAAAGAAAGAAAGAAAGAAAGAAAGGAAGAAAGAAAGAAAGAAAGAAAGAAAGAAAGAAAGAAAGAGAGAGAGAGAAAGAAAGAAAGAAAGAAAGAAAGAAAGAAAGAAAGAAAGAAAGAAAGAAAGAAAGAAGCAAAAGAAAAGAAGTTTTAGGTTTTATTTATTCTTGAAATATTACAAAACATTTTTTTTTAATCAGCTTTAAGACAATATAATGCTTGGGCCAGTGAGATGGCTCAGAAAATAAAGGTGCTTGCCACTGAGCCTGATGACCTGAGTTTGAGTCCCAGAACCCACACAGGTGAAGGAGAGAACGGACTCCCAAAAGTTGTCCTCTGACTTTCACATGCATAAAGTGGCAGAAGCACATACCCCCACACACATACAAGACATTCATTAGAAAGATTAGAAAAAGTGAAGTCACTACCATGTGCATTAAGGTTTTTACTGGTTAAATATCAACAGATTAGCAAAAACCTAGACATGTTAGAACAACCATTCTTGCTTAAATGGATAAACAAGAGATGAGTCATGGAGTGACACCACATGGAGCAAACTATATCACATGAGCCCTTGTACCCAGTCCTCAATCTGCAGATCCTCCCAGGGTCTGGGAAAGGTCTTCATTTGCAAAAGAACGAGGCTGACTTGGAATGTTTCCCAATCTGAGAAGGGGTCATTTCCCCCTGTCCAATACTGGACTGTGCACACTGACATGTGCCACTTGTGGAGATAAGCTTCATACATCCTGAAACTGCCT